TGTGTGTGTGTGTGTGTGTGTGTGTGTGTGTGTGTGTGTGTGTGTGTGTATAATCACATCTTCTTTATCCATGCATCTATTGATGGACATTTAGGTTATTTCCATATTTTAGCAATTGTATGAACTTTGGGGTGCATGAATCTTTTCGAATTAGTGTTTTTGTTTTTTTCAGATATATACTCAGGAGTGGAATTGCTGGGTCATATGGTAGTTGTATTTTTAGTTTTTTGAGAAACCACCGTACTGTCTTCCACTGTGGCTGCACCAATTTGCATTCTGACCAACAATATACGAGGGTTCCCTTTTCTCCACATCCTTGCCAGCATTTGTTAGTTATGGTCTTTTTGATGACAGCCATTCTGACAGGTGTAAGGTGATATATCATTGTGGCTTTAATTTGCATTTCTTTGATGATTAATGATATTGAGCATCTTTTCATGTGTATGTTGGCCATCTGAATGTCCTCTTTGGAAAAATATCAATTCAGGTCTTCTGCCCATTTTTTAATTGGGTTGTTTATTTTTTGATGTTGAATCGTATGAGCTGTTTATATATTTTGGATACTAACCATTTATCAGTCATATGAGTTGCATATATTTTCTCCCATTCATTAGGCTGTCTTTTCATTCTGTCAGTGGTTTCCTTTGCTGTGCAAAAGCTTTTAAGTCTATTTAGTTCCCATTTGCTTATTTTTCCTTTAATTTCCTTTGCTTTAGGACAGCGGCCCCCAACCTTTTTGGCACCAGGGACCAGTTTCGTGGAAGATAATTTTTCCACAGATGGGGGCGGGGGGGTGTGGTTCAGGTGGTAATGCGAGTGATGGGGAGCAATGGGGAGCTGCAGATGAAGCTTTGCTCGCTCGCCCACTGCTCGCCTCCTGCTATGTGGAGCAGTTCCTAACAGGCCACGGACCGATACTGGTCCATGGCCTGGGGATTGGGGACCCCTGCTTTAGGAGACAGATCCAAAAAAATATTGCTACGATATATGTCAAAGAGTGTTCTGCCTATGTTTTCTCCTAGGAGTTTTATGGTTTCTGGTGTTACATTTAGGTCTTTAATCCATTTTGAGTTTATTTTTGAATATGGTGTGAAAAAAATGTTCTAATTTCATTCTTTTACATGTAACTGTCCAGTTTTCTCAGCACCACTTATTGAAGAGACTGTCTTTTCTTCATTGTATATTCTTGCCTCCTTTGTGGTAGATTAATTGACCATAAGTACCTGGTTTTATTTCTGGGCTCTCTATTCTGTTCCATTGATCTATATGTCTGTCTGGTTTTATGCCAGCACCATACTGGTTTTGTTTGTTTGTTGTTGTTTTTGGCTGCACCATGCAGCTTGCGGGATTTCCCTGACCAGGGATCCAGGGATTGAACCCGGGCCACCACAGTGAAAGCCCAGAATCCCAATCACTAGGCCACCAGGGAAGTCCACCATACTGTTTTCATTACTGTAGCTTTGTAGTATAGTCTGAAGTATGATTCCTCCAGCTCTGTTCTTCTTTCTTAAGATTGTTTTGGCTATTCAGGGTCTTCTGTGTCTCCATACAAATTTTAAAATTACTTTTTCTAGTTCTGTGAGAAATGCCATTGCTATTTTGATAGGGATTGCATCAAACCTGTAGATTGCCTTGGGTAGTATAGTCATTTTAACAGTATTGATTTTTCCAATCCAAGAACATAGTATATCTTTCCATCTGTTTGTGTCATCTTCAATTTCTTTCATTAGTGTCTTATAGTTTTCCAAGTATAGATCTTTTACCTCCTTTGATAGGTTTATTCCTAGTATTTTATTCTTTTTGTCGCAATGGTAAATGGGATGTTTCTTTACTTTCTCTTTCTGATAGTTTGTTGTTAGTGTATAGAAATACAACAGATTTCTATGTATTAATTTTGTATTCTGTAATGTAACTGAATTCATTGATGAGCTCTAGTAGTTTTCTGGTGGTGTCTTGAGGAATTTCTATGTATAGTCTCATGTCATCTGCAAACAGTGACAGTTTTACTTCTTCCTTTCCAATTTGGATTCCTTTTATTTCTTTTTCTTGTCTGGTTGCTGTGGCTAGGACTTCCAACTCTATGTTGAATAAAAGTGGTGAGAGTGGGCATCCTTGTCTTGTTCCTGATCTTAGAGGAAATGCAGAAATCTTCAACAAAATATTAACAAACCAAATCCAACAATACCTTAAAAGGATCACACCATCATCAAGTGGGATTTATCCCAGGGATGCAAGGATTTTTCAATATTCGCAAATCAATCAATGTGATACACCACATTAACAGCTTGAATACTAAAAACCATATGATCATCTCAATAGATGGCAGAAAAAACTTTTGAGAAAATTCAGCATCCATTTATGATAAAAAAACTCTCAAGAAAATGGGCATAGGGCTTCCCTGGTGGCGCAGTGGTTGAGAGTCCGCCTGCCGATGCAGGGGACACGGGTTCGTGTCCCGGTCCGGGAAGATCCCACATGCCGCGGAGCGGCTGGGCCCGTGAGCCATGGCCGCTGAGCCTGCGCGTCTGGAGCCTGTGCTCCGCAACGGGAAAGGCCACAACAGTGAGAAGCCCGCGTACGGCAAAAAAAAAAAAAAAAGAAAATGGGCATAGAGGAACATACCTCAACATAATAAAGTCCATATATGACAGACCCACAGCTAACATCATACTCAGTGGTGAAAAACTGAAAGAACTTCCTCTTAGATAGTTGTTCATTTGTTTGTCTTCCTACCAGATGTAACCTCCTTGAGGACAGTACAGCCGTCTTTCCGTATCCAGGGGGGATTGGTTCCAGGACCCCTGGTTGCCAAAACCCATGGACGCTCAAGGCCCTTATATAAAATGGCATAGGATTTGCATATAACCTACCCACATCCGTCTGTATACTTTAAATCATCTTTAGATTGCTTATAATACCTAATACAATGTAAATGCTATATAACTAGCTATAAATACAATGTAAATGCTATATAAATACTTGCTAGTGCAGCAAATTCAAGTTTTGTTTTTTGGAATTTTCTGGAATTTTTTTCTGAAAATTTTTGATCTGTGGCTTGTTGAAATCGTGGTTACAGAACCTGCAGATACGGAGGGCTGACTGTAATTTTATCTTATTGTTCACATTGTGTCCCCAGGGCCTAGAACAGAGTCTGGCATATGGTAGGCTCTTAATAAATATTTAATTGAATAAAATAATCTAAACCAGTCAGAATAAAAATAATCTCTTGTCCAATATTAATACAGTATTGCTCTTCTGTCTTGATGGAGAATAGGAAATGAACAATATTTCATCAGCCACTGAATACTACAAAGAGGTTTTGAAACAGGACAATACTCATGTGGAAGCCATTGCATGCATTGGAAGCAACCATTTTTACTCTGATCAACCAGAAGTAGCCCTCCGGTTTTACAGGTGCACTTTACATTCAATTTGTAGAACTGCTTTCCTATGAAATAGTGATGCAACAGTAATAAACATGGGATGAAAATGTAGAGAAATAATGTTTAGGCCATGTCTATATGAGACTAAAAATTCAAGCACCCAGATGTTTTATGAATATTAAAGCTATATCTAATAATTTGGAAATGCACAAGTATTTGGCATCTTGCAGAAACACACCTGGATAATTGCCTGAGTTTTAAACACCTTGTCATTGTATAAATTGGCCGTTTTGTTGTCCGCCAATAACAGTTCCTAGAAGCACTTCCACATCACTGCCTCCATTAATACCACTGTACATAATATCAAGACCCTGAAGGTAAAATAGTAATGTGATTTGCAAAGAGCAGTGGGCCCCAGGCCCTAATCCTGACGAGGACCTTAAACAGGATTCCGGTTTTGTGAAGTATTGTCAACTCTTGTCCAAATATTTTTTCAAAATCTAAACAAATTATTCTCACTGGTTCTTTGAACACGTACTTATTTTATCCTATAGATGGTTCCTGAAATTAATTTTTTAATTATGATTTCCTCTTTAGCCCCTGGGTAGTATACAAGGAGATAACTGGCAGCTGACAAGAGTTCTTTCCAAATACATGTTGAAGCATAAAACAATAAGATGAATGTAGCCTGTGCACATACAGCTGACTCCACTCGCCTACCCCCACAGTGGCTCATGGGTTCCTTGGGGCAGCTGGGGTGATTTTCATATGCTTATTTGAACTCTCATCCTTTGGGATTAATGACACATAGAAGCAAAATGAGGTTCTTGAGCTGCAGTGTGAAAGCTAAGTGGATAACATGAGGATCCTCTGACAATCTTGTCTTCCTGAGTAGAAGCTCATCGGAGGTCATTAGATGCAGCTAAACCACACAATACAAATAACCAAAAACAGCATCCAACTCAGCTGAAAACTTGGCGGTAAATGCTAAACACAGGCCTCAAATTGACTAGAAGCTCTTAGAAATTTACCTACAAGCACCAAAGCTGTATGAGGCAAAAATGTGTGGGTTTTACTTTATGTGACTATTTATTGATTATTTTGACTCTCTAACAAAGCTTTTGGGGAAAAAAAAAGTGATGTAAGTTATTTCTGACCTTGCCTCTGGATGCATTTCCTATGACTAGTACCATTACAAAAGACATGCTTTTGTATTTGCTCTAAAATATTTTTCATTTACTATAATACTTTATGTTCTTTGGAGGGTATTAAAAATTATAAAGTGAATTCATTTCTAACTTTGTAAAAAATATGTCTTAATATTTATAAAGTTGGTCTGACACCAAACTATGTGTGCTCTTTTTCCAAAAGGCGACTCCTGCAGATGGGTGTCTATAACTGCCAGCTTTTTAACAACTTGGGGCTCTGTTGCTTCTATGCCCAGCAGTATGATATGACTCTGACCTCATTTGAACGTGCCCTTTCTCTGGCTGAAAATGAAGAAGAGATAGCTGATGTCTGGTACAACTTGGGACATGTAGCTGTGGTATGTTTTTTCTGTAATATAATTTCTGTAATAGAGAAGATAGCCACATGTTAGTTTGAAGAAGTTTTCAGATATTGGAAATCCAGGTTTGGTTACAGCCTTTGTAGCAATTTGGAGATTGCTAGGGGTCACTGCAGCTCATTTTATCTTCTTAGGTTAAATCCTCTTATGTACAATTCACACTTGACTCCTGCGTTGATACTATGTTGTTTATTCTGTGGTGGCCACAAGATTTGTATGAGGAAAGGAGGACGGAGGTGGCGGGGGAAGTGAATGGATTTGTGTGTACGAGTTTGTGCTTTTCTTTTGTAGGGAATAGGAGATACAAATCTGGCCCATCAGTGCTTCAGGCTGGCTCTGGTCAACAACAATAACCACGCAGAGGCCTACAACAACCTGGCCGTGCTGGAGATGCGGAAGGGCCATGTCGAACAGGTCAGTGAACTACTGGGTTACTGTGGACAGTCTTCTTTCTTCAAAGAAAAGCTGTCACGTGCAGCTCTCTTTACGTTATAATTTTAAAATGAGCTCTGGATTCTGACTGGCCTGGGTTTGATCCCAGCTCTGTCACGTGTTAGCAGTGTGACCTTGGACAAGTTACTTAACCTTTCAGTATCCAAAGTAGAGCACTTGATTTTATTAGGACAAATCTGCACCTCCCCAGGCTTCCCTATCTTCGTGAACTGTTCCACCACTCACACCGCCCCACATCCGCCATCCAGCTGCTCAAGCCAAAATCCTAGGACCCACCCTCGAAACCTGTCTTTTCTGAGTGCCTTCCCTGCCACCCTTTGCCTCCGTGCTGTCCAGTGAGCCCTGTCAGTTCTACCCCCACCTCTTCAGTCCTCCCCTCCCGGCCCCCTTCTCCAAGCTGCTCTCATCTCCTGCCTGGGTGACTACAAGGGTCTCCTAGCTCTTGCTTTTGTTTCCACTTCCATCAGCAAGGAGTAGCACCCTATAGTACATCTCCCTCAGAGCAGCCCAGAGCAGGGGTCCCCAACCCCTGGGCTGAAGCCTGTTAGGACCTGGGCGGCACAGCAGGAGGCGAGCGGCGGGCGAGCGAGTGGAAGCTTCATCTGCCGCCCCGCGTCACTCCCCATCTCCATCTGAACCGTGCCCCCCTCCCTCACCCCCGCCCGTGGAAAACCTGTCTTTCACGAAACCGGTCCCTGGTGCCAAAAAGGTTGGGGACCGCTGGCCTAGAGGATATTTTCAAAACACAAGATTATTTATTACTACGTTGCTTAGCATCCTCCAAAGGCTTCTCCCTGCACTTGGAATAAAATTTGAACTTCAAACCTTAGCCTACGGGGCCCCACCTCATCTAGCCTCTGGGTCCCGCCAGACTGTATCTTTTGCCACTACTCCTTCACTACTGACCTCCAGAAACATTAGCTGCTTGCTGCTGGGCAGTGCCTGTTCTTACTGTAGTGCCTTTGGAAAATACTTTCAGATCCTGAAATGACTCTTTTCTTTTTATCATTCAGGTCTTAGCTTAATTACCGCCTTTTTAGAAAGACCTGCTTGAACATCAGTCTAAAGGAGCCCTCAGGTGCTATCACATCTCCTACTATTTTTTTCTTCACAATACTTATCATTTTACCAGATATTTTCATCTTTATATGTAAAATGTAGAATGCTAGCTGCATGAAAGCAGGGGCCTTCTGTGTCTTCTAACTGCTATATTTTCAGTCTCGAAAACATTGCCTGACACTCGGTAGGTGCTTAGTATTGGTGGAATGAGTGGATGATAAATAAAATAGGGTAATGACAGTACTGACCCGAAGGTGTGCTTGTGAAGATGAGCAGGTTGTGCATGCAAAGCCCTTGGCGTAGTAAAAGCACATGATAGATGCTTAATAAATTTTATTATTATTACTGTTATTATTTACATAACAAGAAGTTTAAAATGCTGAATACACTCATACAATATTAATGGCAATCAACATCGATAGATATTACATTCTCTGTTTTACAGATGAAGAAACAGACTAGAGGAGGGTAAGTAACTACCCAAGGTCACAGACGTAGTGAGCAGCACGCCAGGATGTTAACCTCCAGCCTGGTCTCCTAAGCACGTTGATAAACTTAATAAAACAAGCAAAGAAACATCACTGGATGCTGCCTTTGTTTCACAAAATTTTCCCAAAGTAAATAAGATGGATTTGTATTTTTTAAACAAAAACTAACTACTCTAAACTGGGAACTTGTTCTGTCATAGAACTTTGCCTGTGTCCATTTGAAGCAAGTGTTCTTTATGATTTTCTCTGTTTCCATGTTGGTGATTTTCTTTCCCTCCTACTTACTGTAGTTTTTCCAGCATACAATTGATTTGAAATGTTTTGGTGAAAGGTTTCATTATTATTAAAAATTATAGCTCAATTTAAAAAAAAATAGCAAATCATAAAACAAAATTTAATATCCTATCCTATTTAAACTATTATTTATTTTCCATTAAAAAAAGATATAAGAATTTGTCCTCAGGGTCATACATAGAAGATTGGCTACAAGTTGAAAGGCTGTTCGGCAGCGTGGAATGCTGAGTTTGTGATCTTAACAATGAGTGTACGGGCATCTCGTGTCTCTCAGTGGTCTCTGCAATGTGTGATCCTTTGAGTCTAGAGGGGACAAAAAAACGATGTGAATTTTGTCTTTTGAGTACTTTAGAGAACAGAAAGCTTGTCATTTTCAGTCGCCTTCAGTTGTCATTTTCAGGTCAGCAGTATAATAAATGCTTGCTCAGTGTCATCCAGCACAGAAATTGGGGATTGAATTTACAGTGGTTTTTTGGTGGTTTTTGTTGTTGCATTAGAGAACAGGTAATTAGAAGCCTACTGAATCAATCAACATCAACAGAAACTAGATTAATAAGACTTTTTAGCATTGAGAGCATTATTTTTCAGTTGTACATCATACTGAAATATAAACTTTGTAAGATCAGTGTTTCTCACATAACTTTTGGATTCCATCATTTTTTCCATATTTTGAAGCATTTTATTATTAATATAATTTTGGCAAGATATAGGTAGTTCCTGGTTATCAGTAAGTTGTATTTCATGAGGAATTCATCTTATTTATTACAGGGTTATGTTTATTAAAGCCCTATCCTGGGTAAAGTATTCTTTTACCAAAATAAACAAAAAAAATCACAAATACAGTACTAATATATGCTCATATAGCTTTGGTTTCTCTTTTCTTTCCTTTTTTTTTTAACACAGGCAAGAGCACTGTTACAAACTGCTTCATCTTTAGCACCCCACATGTATGAGCCGCATTTTAATTTTGCAACAGTTTCTGATAAGGTATTCTCTTTCTTTGTCAATTTATCATCTGACCTGTTTGTTTTTATTTCTTGCTTTTAAAACAATGTGCAGTTAAATAAGGACATTCTACCCATAACTTCCTGAGAGATTATTTTTTTCAACACTTAATTATTATGTACACATATGTCTTCACTTCGAGGGACAGTTTAATACACTTTAAGTATATTTATCACTGAATATTAGCTAAACTTAACACCATTATAGATTGCAGAAGAATTATTTTATGTTTTCAGATATGACATTTAATCATTGAAAAACTATTCATTAACTCCTGGTTTGGGGAGGATTTAGTAATTAGCGTTTGCAGCAAGGAAATCCTGTATATCATTTGTAGGTCATATTGCCATCAAGTCTGGCATGATGCTGTAAAATTAGGGATATTAGTGAAAGCTGTTTTAGCTATGAACAATATGGGAAAAATGCAACCATTGATACTGTGTTACAAGTCAGTTAACATCCAAGAGCTAAAAGGAATCATGTGCCATTTTAACAATAAGAGGAAACAAACAAAAGTCATCTAATAACTTTGACTTGGAAACCTTACTTTAACATGGAAGGTGAGTTTTGAGGATAAGGAAATGGCTAAAAATGTTTGCTGATGTAAAGACTCTTTATAGACCAAAAGACATTATAAAAATCATTTTTCGTAGCATGAATGTGAAGTCATTTGCACTTTCATTTCTGTTTTGAAAATAAAATAAGCTGTTATTCATAAGTTGTCATTTTTGAGTGTGTGTTAAGTGCTGGCCACTGTTCCAGGTGCTCTCTGAACCGCTAATTCTCTCAACAACCCTGCGATGTAGGTAACACTTACCTCCCCTACTCATTTTTTCACACAACTGATGTTTCATTTGTTGAGCCTCTGCTACGTACCAGGCACTGTTGTCGGCACAGAGGATGTTAGCAATGAGTAAAACAGAAACCTCTACCTCGTGCAGCTTATATTCTAATGGAACCCAGGGCTTCTGGAACTTAAAAGACTTCCCTGGAGTCCCATGGCAGAATTCATGCCCAGCTCCCAAGGATTCCCACATATTTTCCACTGCACTGTGCTGCCACTTAGTTAAACCACAAAGAAGCCTTGATTACTTTCTTTCAGGACTATTATTACATTTTAATAATATATAATGCAAATGAAATATTTCTTTAAGCCAAAGGCTACATTTCCATAAGAGAAAATTGCATGTTGAAAAGAAATGCTATGATTTAAAAAAGGAAACTTACGTTTTTAATTCATATGCATGTTACCAAAAAACTACAAGAAGTGAATGATCTAGATTTGTTTTGGTTTTTTTTGGTGTGTACACACTAAAAAGCTTTCTCTTTGTAGAAATGTATACATGAATCAAAATACATTCAGATGGATTTGGTTACTGTGTGTGTTTTCCTTGGGGACTGGACTTTAACACAAAGTTTATTGAAAATCAGATATGTTGGGCTTCCCTGGTGGCACAGTGGTTGAGAGTCCGCCTGCCGATGCAGGGGACACGGGTTCATGCCCCGGTCCGGGAGGATCCCACATGCCGCAGAGCGGCTAAGCCCGTGAGCCATGGCCGCTGAGCCTGCGTGTCCGGAGCCTGTGCTCCGCTATGGGAGAGGCCACAGCAGTGAGAGGCCCGCGTACCGCAAAAAAAAAGAAAAGAAAAGAAAATCAGATATGTCCTTTATAAACTTTTAAAACCAGGTTATCTGCCCAACATTACTGTGTTAGCAACCATTTAAAAGCTCCCAGAGCATGTTATTGTATCTTAAATACAATAGTTTTTACTTGAATTTTCTGTCTAAAAGATAATACCCTAATCAAAATATGTCATTGTCTGTGGTACATTACAAATAGTTTTCTTACCGAGCTGGCTGTTCTAGCATGTAGACATCAGTTTATTTTTATGATAACCATCAGTGACAGGAAAAGAAAACACAGGTTTATGAATTCATAACTAGACAACTGTAATAGAGCAGAAATTATTAATTGGTTATTTTACTTTTCTCATGTTTTTTCAAGATTGAGTTGTAATCTAGGTGAAAAAAATTTTAAATCAAAGTAGCACAATCAAGCAATTCACCTTGGGTTTCTACATTGTGCAGATACTATGTCTTTTTTTTTTTTTTTTCTGGTTCTCATTCTGTGGTCTTATTCTGGTCTGGTCTTTCTTACAGATGGGAGATCTACAGAGGAGCTACATTGCTGCTCAAAAGTCTGAAGCAGCATTTCCGGATCACGTGGACACTCAACATTTAATTAAGCAGTTAAAGCAGCATTTTGCTATGCTCTGAGTTTTCCTCAGACTAAAGATATTCTTAGGGAGGAACATTATGCAAGGGAAAAAGTAATGTATATATATGTGTAGTACAGACCTGTGCTTGGTATTAGTGAAGGTGACATAAGGAAATCTAAACCAGAATGTTTAAAACTTTATAATAATAACTTTATAAGATAATGTTATAAAAGACAGGATTTAAGCATTTGTAAGCAGATTATGAAACCTCCCACATTATATGGTAGATGTTTGTTTATAATGTTTACAAAACGTTTTCATGAATTTCCTCAAATTTTTATAAATGCACATTTTTAATGTCCTGGCCATTAGCTATCATGTAGCTTAAGAAGTCTGAAATCTGCCTTTAAAATTGCACTTTTATGACTAAAAGTGTATATACCTATCCTTGGTAGAGACTTTAGAGATTAAAATTTGTACTTAAAGCTATTTTTTATCAAATGCTTTGTGAGCCACTCTACTTTTTCTTATATATTATGCTTTAAAATAAATGTGTATAAAACACCATCATTCCGTTATTTTTCAGGAGTTTTTATTTCAGTCATCTCAGTTAAAAAAAGTTTTCCAGAAGTCCAGGAGTCTTAGAAATCAAGTCTTTATCCTAATTTTATTTGAAATGATGTGCGATCAATTTTGCTTTTTCCTGAGAAGCTATTTATGGGCTATCATGTTGTCAATATAAGAATATCAGGATTAGAAATGGAGTCATAGGCCAGAAGTCCCCTGTGGTCAGCCCTGAGAAGGCTAGGCTGGACCCAACACTGTGCGTTGTAAAATCCTAGACAGGCTCTCCTCTCCAGTCTTTAGTGGAATTCTCATTGAGGTGTTCATACAACAAAATGCGTTAAAGGGCCAAGGCCACTCACATTCATATTTTGGGCTTTGGGCTCTATCTATGTTACTTTACCTTTTTTTAACTTTATGAAAACTATTTTGCAGGTATTTATTTGTTTCTGTTCAGATTATACAAATAGTACTACTTAGCTGACCGAACACAAAAAATGTGAATTCAAGGAATAGACTGTTTGAGGCTGGAAGTAATTTCAGAGACTATGTAGATGAATCTCTCCATGGGACAGGAGGAGGCCATGCCCAGAGTCACACTGCTGGTTGGTAAGGCTGGAAACAAGACCTGCTCCTGCACTTCAGACTTGAACCTCCCCTGGTTCTCCATGATACGCCAGTGCTCGTTCAGCTTGCGAGAGTTTCCTCAAGCACTATCGGATTTCCTAACACTGTATGCAATATTTAGGTTCAAATTTTATATTGTGAATTATTTTCTTAGTTAATTTAAAATAAGAACTAATAACAGTGGCTAGCGTTTACTGAGGATGTTGTATGTACCCAGCACTGTTCTGGAGCACTTGATATGGAGTAATTCATTTAATTCCCATTGCAGGCCTATGAAATGCTGTTACTCCCATTTTACTCATGAAAAAAATGAGGCACAGAGCAGTCAAATTACGTGCCCAAATTCTAAAGCTATTAAATGGCGGAGCTGGGATTCAAATGCACATTTAATACAGTGGGTAAGAGCACATACTCGGGAGCCAAATGCACATTATAAAGGAATGGGTATGAGGGTAACAGCAGATTTCTGTGTGGCCCTGGGGTATGTGTTCTTAACTACTATGTCAAATCTCCTCTTAGTGTTTCTCCTGTAAATAAAGCTACTATTGTTTAAAATGAATGTTACATGCATTAGTAAAGTTGAATTATAAGGGACTATTAACACAGCAAAAAAATTAATGAGCCAGCATTCCTAAGGTGATATGGAGAGATTTTTGTCTTGAATTTATATTAATTCAATGTGAACACCAATGCAAAGAATGAGTCAGGATGGCTAAGGGCAGAATGATGACATAACACTGCATCAGAAGCTACATATATTTTGTAGCAAAATTATTTCTGGACCATATAACTTCTGGCTTCTGTGCCAACGTTTCTATATCAGGAAGGTTAACAATTGTCTTCTACCATGATTAAAAAAGTGTTCTATCCATATATAAATTGTTCAGCTGAAACTAACATTATTGAGCTTCCAGCTGATGAAAACGAGATATGGCAAGAAGGCTGCCTACAATGAATAATTGCCGAGGTTAGACGTTCTTCCTTTTCAAAAGGGTCATATCTGAACCAGTTCCCTATGGTACTACTGTTCTGTTACATTTCTGAATGGTATTTCCCTGCATCAGAGCACCCATCAGGATATAATTTACGGCCTAGAAATAGGAAAATTAATAAAGATAACACATTACTATAGTTTCCACCACCAACTCTTTATTAACATGAGGGATTTTTAAAAAATTTTTATTTATTTATTTTTGGCTGCATTGGGTCTTCGTTGCTGCGTGCAGGCTTTCTCTTGTTGCGGCAAGTGGGGGCTACTCTTTGTTACGGTGTGCCGGCTTCTCATTGTGGTGGCTTCTATTGTTGTGGAGCGCGGGCTCTAGGTGCGCGGGCTTCAGTAGTTGTGGCTCGCGGGCTTAGTTGCTCCGCAGCATGTGGGATCTTCCTGGACCGGGGCTCGAACCCGTGTCCCCTGCATTGGCAGGCGGATTCTTAACCACTGCACCACCAGGGAAGACCAATATCAGGGATTTTTATCAAGAGCTTTCAGCTGGAATTGAATTTAAGCATTCAGAAAAATAACAAAGATTTTAGAACTACCACAGGAGGACTCAGTCTTGGAAAATAATGAACCCAGAAATTAAGTTTTGGTAAAAGGCCATTACTGGATAGTTTTAAATTCTAGGGAATAGGTAAATTGGAATGATCCATGGATATGTTCCAGAGTTCTAAAATGGTTATTTAGGCTCAGATATTAGGGGAAAAAGTTTATCTATTGATTTGAAAATAACCACAGTTTTACATCCTTCCATATTGATGGCCTTAGTCCTATTTTTGGCTGACTAAAAATTTAACATTTTTGAGAGATGCTGTCATTTTACGTCCTCAGTATTAAAGTCCAATTCTTGATATAAAAGAATAAGGATTACATAAAGATTAAATTATAATCCTTGGAGGCTATATTTCTTGCAATGTGATACTTTCTATTACCTGAATCCTGACTAATAAGGAGTAATTGGTAAAATGTAAATGATGGGAACTCTTGGAGAAAGCCACCACATTATCTTAGGGGAGAAAAGGTCATATTTAGACAGATATTAGGAAGAAATATTTTTTCAGAGAAGATAGATCTTCTTCCAGTGTTTGAAACTGAAGTTTCCATGGGCTCCAACATTTTCTCTCTACTGGATTTTCTCTCTTTTTCCTTTTTAAAACATCACAGTCCCTGTAAACCTTCCCCTTTCTAGAACTCCTTTATCTCCTTTGTCAGAACATCTTGAAAGGGCAGGTGATGTTTGTTGCCTACTTCCTCATCTTCCATTTGTTTCTTGACCTTCTTCAGTCTGGCTTCAACCCCTACCACTACTCAGCTGCTCTCGCTGAGGTCATTTATGACTGTCATTAGCAAATCCAGAGTTGTTGTTGTTGTTTTTAACATAACAGTTTTTAAAGATAATATTCATGTACCACACAATTCTTGCTTTTAAAGTGTACCATTTATGGCTTTTAACATATGCACAGTTAGGCAACCATCACTATAATCAATTTAAAAACACTTTTGCTATGCCCAATAGAAACTTCATACCCATTAACAGAATTTGTTCATTATTATTATTTTTTAACATCTTTATTGGAGTATAATTGCTTTACAATGGTGTGTTAGTTTCTGCTTTATAACAAAGTGAGTCAGTTATACATATACATATGTCCCCATATCTCCTCCCTCTTGCATCTCCCTCCCTCCAACCCTCCCTATCCCACCCCTCTAGGTGGTCACAAAGCACCGAGCTGATCTCCCTGTGCTATGCGGCTGCTTCCCACTAGCTATCTATTTTACATTTGGTAGTGTATATATGTCCATGCCACTCTCTCACTACATCCCAGCTTACCCTTCCCCCTCCCCGTGTCCTCAAGTCCATTCTCTAGTAGGTCTGCGTCTTTATTCTCGTCTTGCCCCTAGGTTCTTCATGATCATTTTTTGTTTTTGTTTTTAGATTACATATATATGTGTTAGCCTACGGTATTTGTTTTTCTCTTTCTGACTTACTTCACTCTGTATGACAGACTCTAGGTCCATCCACCTCACTACAAATAACTCAATTTCATTTCTTTTTATGGCTGAGTAATATACCATTGTATATATGTGCCACACCTTCTTTATCCATTCATCTGTTGATGGACACTTAGATTGCTTCCATGTCCTGGCTATTGTAAATAGAGCTGCAATGAACATTGTGGTACATGACTCTTTTTGAATTACGGTTTTCTCAGGGTATATGCCCAGTAGTGGGATTGCTGGGTCGTATGGTAGTTCTATTTTTAGCTTTTTTTTTGTGTGTGTGGTACGTGGGCCTCTCACTGTTGTGGCCTCTCCTGCTGCGGAGCAACAGGCTCCGGATGCGCAGGCTCAGCATCCATGGCTCACGGACCCAGCCGCTCCGCGGCATGTGGGATCTTTCCGGACCAGGGCACGAACTCGTATCCCCTGCATCGGCAGGCGGACTCTCAACCACTGTGCCACCAGGGAAGCCCTATTTTTAGCTTTTTAAGGAACCTCCATACTGTTCTCCACAGTGGCTGTATCAATTTACATTCCCACAAACAGTGCAAGAGGGTTCCGTTTTCCGCACACCCTCTCCAGCAGTTATTGTTTGTACATTTTTTTTTTTTTTTTTTTTTTTTTTTGCTGTATGCGGGCCTCTCACTGCTCTGGCCTCCCTCGTTGTGGAGCACAGGCTCCGGACGCGCAGGCCCAGCGGCCATGGCCCACGGGCCCAGCCGCTCCGCGGCACGTGGGATCTTCCCAGACCGGGGCACGAACCCGTGTCCCCTGCATTGGCAGGTGGACTCCCAACCACTGCGCCACCAGGGAAGCCCTGTACATTTTTTGATGATAGGCATTCTGACTGGTGTGAGGTGATATCTCATTGTAGTTTTGATTTGCATTTCTCCAATGATTAATGATGTTGAGCATTCTTTCATGTGTTTGTGGGCAATCTGTATATCTGCTTTGGAGAAATGTCTATTTAGATCTTCTACCCATTTTTGGATTGGGTTGTTTGTTTTTTTAATATTGAGCTGCTTGTAAATTTTGGAGATTAATCCTTTGTCAATTGCTTCATTTGCAAATATTTTCTCCCGTTCTGAGGGTTGTCTTTTGGTCTTGTTTATGGTTTCCTTTGCTGTGCAAAAGCTTTTAAGTTTCATGAGGTCCCATTTGTTTATTATTGCTTTTATTTCCATTTCTCTAGGAGGTGGGTCAAAAAGGATCATACTGTGATTTATGTCATAGAGTGTTCTGCCTATGTTTTCCTAAGAGTTTGATAGTGTCTGGCCTTACATTTAGGTCTTTAATCCATTTTGAGTTTATTTTTGTGTATGGTGTTAGGGAGTGTTCTAATTTCATTCTTCTACATGTAGCTGTCCAGTTTTCCCAGCACCACTTATTGAAGAGGCTGTCATTTGCCATTGTGTATTCTTGCCTCTTTTATCAAAGATAAGGTGACCATATGTGTGTGGGTTTATCTCTGGGCTTTCTATCCTGTTCCACTGATCTATATTTCTGTTTTTGTGCCAGTACCATACTGTCTTGATTACTGTAGCTTTGTAGTATAGTCTGAAGTCAGGGAGCCCGGTTCCTCCAGCTCCGTTTTTCTTTCTCAAGATTGCTTTGGCTGTGTGGGGTCTTTTGTGTTACCATACAAATTGTGAAATTTTTTGTTCTACTTCTGTGAAAAATGCCAGTGGTAGTTTGATACGGATTGCATTGAATCTGTAGATTGCTTTGGGTAGTATAGTCATTTTCACAATGTTGATTCTTCCAATCCAAGAACATGGTATATCTTTCCATCTGTTTGTATCATCTTTAATTTCTTTCATCAGTATCTTATACTTTTCTGCATACAGGTCTTTTGTCTCCTTAGGTAAGTTTATTCCTAGATATTTTATTCTTTTTGTTGCAGTGGTAAATGGGAGTGTTTTCTTAATTTCACTTTCAGATTTTTCATCATTAGTGTACAGGAATGCAAGAGATTTCTGTGCATTAATTTTGTATCCTGCTACTTTACCAAATTCATCAATTAACTCTAGTAGTTTTCTGGTAGCATATTTAGGATTCTCTATGCATAGTATCATGTCATCTGCAAACAGTGACAGCTTTACTTCTTCTTTTCTGATTTGGATTCCTTTTATTTCTTTTTCTTCTCTGATTGCTGTGGCTAAAACTTCCAAAACTATGTTCAATAATAGTAGTGAGAGTGGGCACCCTTGTCTTGTTCCTAATCTTAGTGGAAAAGGTTTCAGTTTTTCATCATTGAGGAGGATGTTGGCTGTGGGTTTGTCATATATGGCCTTTATTATGTTGAGGTAAGAGACATTCCCTCTATGCCTACTTTCTGGAGGGTTTTTATCATAAATCGGTGTTGAATTTTGTTGATAGCTTTCTCTACATCTATTGAGATGATCATATGGTTTTTATTATTCAATTACTTAATATGGTGTATCACATTGATTGATTTGCGTATATTGAAGAATCCTTGCATTCCTGGGATAAACCCCACTTGATCATGTTGTATGATCCTTTTAATGTGCTGTTGGATTCTGTTTGCTAGTATTTTGTTGAAGAGTTTTGCATCTCTGTTCATCATTGATATTGGCCTTTAGTTTTCTTTCTTTGTGACGTCTTTTTCTGGTTTTGCTATCAGGGTGATGGTGGCCTCGTAGAGTGAATTTGGGAGTGTTCCTCCCTCTGCTATATTTTGGAAGAGTTTGAGAAGGATAGCTATTAGCTCTTCTCTAAATGTTTGATAGAAGCCATATGGTCCTGGGCTTTTGTTTGTTGGAAGATTTTTAATCACAGTTTCAATTTCAGTGCTTGTGATTGGTCTGTACATATTTTCTATTTCTTCCTGGTTCAGTCTTGGAAGGTTGTGCATTTCTAAGAATTTGTCCATTTCTTCCAGGTTGTCCATTTTATTGGCATAAAGTTTCTTGTAGTAATCTCTCAGGATCCTTTCTATTTCTGCTGTATCAGTTGTTACCTCTCCTTTTTCATTTCTAATTCTATTGATTTGAGTCTTCTCCCTTTTTTTCTTTGTTTTTAAATAAATTTATTTATTTACTTATTTACTTTTGGCTGTGTTGGGTCTTCGTTTCTGTGTGAGGACTTTCTCTAGTTGCGGCGAGTAG